TTTATTCGTTACTGCGCCACACCGATCACCTGCTTAAACGAGCTTCCGGCATTACCATCCTACTGTTCACAATATGTTGCACACCGGGTGAAGAATCAGTCGTGTAACATCGACGGTTCCTCCCGTTGCAACTCTATCTAAAATCCACCTTCCATTTCTGGTTTTGCGTGACAACGTCGCGCAGGTTAATGAATTTTTGCTGTGCCACAAACTTTACTAAATTTGGATTTGTTAATGATAACTGCAAAAAAGGTGCCATATATATTATATGAGTGCGTGAGAGTGACAACCTTGAAACCGATCATAGTAATCGACGAATAATAAATAAAATAAAAGAGGAAGAGAAAAATTAATTTGCTTAAAAGTTGAATTAAGGTTTGCGTTTAATATTTGGGTTAGGGTTTAATTTATACTAAAAATTTCATGGAGATTTTTGTGTTAGAGCCTCAATGACTGTTTTATTAGTAAATTCTAAGCTATATATATATACCTGTGTTTTATACACTAGTGTACGAATAGAAATTTTCCAAAAAAACAAAGGCTTGAAAAACAATTTTATTAAAATCCTAACGTTAATAATACAGTTTATGAATACCTAAGCATATAAACTTATTTATTTCCTTTATTTTTCGTTTTTTAATATCTAAAATACTAAGATAGCTTAATAAAGTTTTACAAAATTATTATTTTTCGGGACCACACACCTATATTTGTTTTTCGGCACCACACATCTATTTTTTGATCGTCTTCGTCATGACTATTTTGGTTTCATTCAACAAAAATAAAAACCTTATAAAATAAATTTCTTATGTCAAAATTTTTCGTTGAAAAAGTATCTGTCAAATAACAAAATATAAACTATATTAAATATAAACGTCTATAGATATCTATAAATAAAATGCTGCTAAAGTTTGACGATCTACAAACTACAAAGTTTAAAATTTTGACAAGAAATATCTCAATTAAAATTATATTGATTTGCTCTTTATTGAGTTTTGTCATTGTTTTCTTAAAACTAGGAGAACAAGAATTTACGGAATCGGTTTTGGTAAAGCATTTTTAAATATTTTATAAAGCAATGCATTAAAAATTAACAGCTTAAATTATAGGAAATACATCCGCTAACAGAAGATGAGAAGATTAATATAAAATATTGTCAAGAGAAAACATGTAAATTCCTGTTTCCATATTCTCTAGTAGAACAAGAGACTCGCGCCAATATTCATATCCGCCTTTACACACAATTAACAAGAACTTTAAATCGTATATTAGTCTTACCAAATGTTGGAAATTCAAAAATTAGAGCGTGTTCTCTATATCCATTCGACTTCTATTATGATTTAAAAGCATTCCAAGAGGATTATCCAGACATTCGATTTATAACTCAAAATGAATTTTTTGAATGGACAAAAGAAAGAAAAATTCAACCAATCGCGCAACATTCAAGTATGATTCAAGACGGTTTAAATAAATCTTTTAGTTCTAAACAATCAATGACTATGAGAGTCAATGAAAGTGATAAATTTGGAAGCAAACGAAAAAAAAAAACCTGTATAGATAAATTTAACATAAATATTACAAATTATAAAGTATTCCATACAGGGATTAGCAAATTAGATCGCGAAGCAATGCTGAAGCTTGTTACAAACACTCTAAAAATTCCATCTATAACTGGAGAATACGAAGCAATAATGATATTAGATACTTCACCTGCAGAAATATTTCCAAATATTCCCAAAGTAATTCCATATTCACCATATATTATTGAGGAATCTAAAAAAATCTTAAATAAATTAATGCCTTATATAGCTGTTCATTGGAGAATGGAGCGGGGACAGTCTGAATTAATGCCAAAATGTGCCAATGAACTAGTTAAAACATTAAAAAAAGTTCAAAACCAGTATGGAATTAAAAATGTATATTTGGCAACAGATTTTCCACTTAACGGCGGAAATCCTCAATCGCTAACATTTCATAATATTTCTAGCTTTCATAAAAAAGCTATTGAAATACTTGGACTAGATGGTAGATTTATAAATAGTTCCGATTACATAAAATTCGATACATGGATTTCAATGGACGCTTTCTCACAAATTAGAAACGACCCAAAATACGAAACAGAATTTAAAGGTGCGGGTATACACGGAATACTTGATAAAATAGTTTGTATAAATGCAAAGTATTTCTTAAGGAGCCCGAAAGGTTGCGGTAGGATATCTAGTACTTTCACGAAAGCTATCTCTATAGAAAGACAAAAGTTGAAAGATCAACATGATTTGATTAATATTGGTTCTTTTTGGTGAAGTTCTGATATGTATCATTCTCATATTCTTAGCTAGTGATGCCGACATTAGGGATGGGAATCAATTTTGAAATCAAAATCGATTTTATAATCGGATAACTTAACCGATTAATCGATTAATCGGATAAAAAATTAACTAAT